ACCATTTTAATTTAAATTGAAGATAAGTTAGTCTAAAAATTTATAGTAGATAGTAGTCTCTTTGGAACGATATTCAGACTTAATAAATCCATTTTATTACTTGTCACGATCCGTACACTTACTAGGCATGAACAAACATTTTTCTTAGCATGATCATATCTAATCCTTGACTTAAGCATGCCTATTTCTAAGCACGAGCATACCTGCATCAGGCATGTTCATGCCTACAGGTAGGGATGTTCATGCCAAAGATTAGGCATGAACATGCCTTATTGATACGAACCGGGGTAGTAGAATCGCATGGAACTCGTAGAATTGATTTGAAAACACCGATAAAGCCCAAATCCAGGTTGTAGACAATAGAATCTCAACCCGAGCCTCACGATTCAACTCAAATGTTGTTTTTGGGCTAATCTAGCATCCAAATCAACTTTCTTTTGCTTCGTTGATCTCGTAGTCCAATTTTAAGTTTATCAAAAAAAATATTGTTCTTCCGTATAGAGTCCCAAAAAAATCGTTCTTTCTTCGCTTGTGTTCCTGAGTAAGAAAACAAATTTCTTCTTGCTCATCTATGTCTAGTTCATCATCTTGATCTTAGGAACTTTTTTTCCTGATATTGTGGGAAACTCTATATAAAGGGGATGGATGGTGATTGGGGATATATTTTTCAAACTCGGTGTATTGTGGGTGTAAGATATGCAGTCTAACTATTGATATGGACTACATATCAAACTTGGCTAGCATCACTATGGTTGAAGAATTGGGGTTACGTGTACAACAACATCCTAGTCCTTATAGGATGACTTGGTTGAAGGGGTGTGAAAAGGTAGATGTGACCGAGCAAGCTCTAATAAAATTCACACTTGGGATATATAACGATGAGGTGTGGTGTGGTGTAGTTCCCTTGAGATCGTTCCATGTCTTGTTTGGGAAACTTTGGAGGCGTGAGAAGAAAGTTGTGTATGATGTGGTGAGGAACAGGTACAGCTTTCTTCGGGACAGAGTGAAAATCACTTTGGCTGGCTTGGCAACACAAGGGGCTTATGATGATCAACTCAAAGTGAGAAGAGAGGTAGAGAGGAGAGATAGAGAAAAAAGAGTGAGGTGGCTAAGTGTAATGAAAAAGGAGATGAGCCACATGAGAAAAAAGAGGTAGAAAACAAAAATGAGAGTGGAGAGGTGGCAAAAAATGAAAAGAGGCCACAAGAGGTAAGGGAAAGTGATTCTTCGGGGAAAAAAGAAAGGTCATAAGTGAGCTTCATTAAAAATGAGGGTGGGGGAGGGAGAGCTTTGGTGAAAACTAACAATTCCCCCCTAATTGAAGCATGTTGGAGCGAGACTAAAGCCAAGTTCGAGACTTCAAAGAGTTGACAAAGTCGATCATTTTCATGTTCAAGCAATGAAGTCCATAATATTAAAGACAACATGCCAAAGATCTACCTTGTTGTTGGGGTCAAGGGCCGAAAAGAGTTGGAAAGCGTTGAAAACTAGAAAATGAAGTCGGAGGTCCAACAGGACACTATGCAATCGCATAATGTCCCAACACGTGCGACCGCATGTGTCCATATCGAGATCAGTCAGGGGTCCAGAAGTTATTCTATGCGACCGCATAGAATAACATTATGCGGTCGCATAGGCTAAATCCGGAAGAAGAGTTTCCAATTTTCATAAGTTACCTTAATTGTTTAGAATTTTATTTTAATTGATATTTTGTAATCTTTTAAGAATTATTTTCGATTTTAACTAGCTTCTAAGATTTAGTATAAATAGGATCTTCTATCATTGTAACAAAAAGACTTTTGACATTATGAATTATTGAGTTATGAATTATTGAGATTTTCTCTCCATGGATTCTTCCATGAAATTTCAAACTTATCGAATATGTTGAATATTTGTGGCATTCATCCATAGAAATTATTAAAGGATTAGGCATCATTTCTGGTGTTCGCAAATCGAGGTTCTTGTTCCAGGTAATCAACGGGTCAGATCTCTAGCGCGTGATCTTGGTTTTTGGTACGAGTCGAACAACGGGTCGGGTTGCTATTACGAGATGTGATTTCTAGCTTTCTTGGGTTGGTTTCAACTTGTTCATGGGTTCCCAACATATATTATTGGCTGGGTTGCATCACTTATCCTTGGCATGAGCCTCTTCAGGCATGAGCATGCCTATTCCTTGGTTTGAGCATACATATTCCTTATCATGAGCATGAATATTTTTGAACCCGATGTACATGTGCATTTCATTCGAGAAACTAGCACTTTGCGCACGAGCTCCTAACATGGATGCANCATTCGAGAAACTCGCACTTTGCGCACGAGCTCCTAACATGGATGCAAGAGTGCCTATGATGTGTACAATTTTTGTATGAGTCGAAAAATCGAGCTCTCTCCTTGGGCCAAAACATCATCGGGCTCGTATGAATGAGCTCGAGCTAGGGCTTAAAGCCCTTAGACATCTCGTATTCTTTACTATCATTTTCCCTTTCTTCCTATTAAGTTCCCTAATATAATAGGACTTTACCACTAGAGTTTTGTGGTTATCCAAACACTCTATCTCACAACTCCAATCAAATTACAATTCCTAAGTATGGAAAGACTCCCAAGCATTTCACAACTCTTTAATCAGATAAGGATGTTCAATTGATTTATCTTTCTAGGAGTGCACCACTTAATCATGCTAAGAGTGTATTACCTATCTCTATAAATACAAGACATTTGATCATTATTCAGGTTCGCTTTTACATAATTTCAACATATAGCATTTCGCATAAATTCTCTCTAACTTAAGTATTGGAGGGGGCGACGAGGACATACATACTCCTTTGTTTCAGGTATTGGAAGATTCTGTCCGTACTCATTTTCAATCCTCAAGCTCGAAATCAACGAGTACGATTTTTTATAGCATCAATTACCAAATCAAAACCAGCAATAAAACTAGATGAGTATCCCTTCTTTGCCCAAATACAGGAAAAAAAGTTGTGCCAACTTGTAAAAGTTTTCTATTTAGATATGGGCAAGCATTATTAACGAAATGTAAAAGAAAAAAGATAAGTAGAAGGTACCATTATTGCATTTTTTTTCTTCTTTTTCCTTTTAGGAACATAGTTTTGTCAAAAAGTGTGAAAAACTTGGAAAAGTTAAAGGGTTGTTTTGTTAGTAATACGTGTACATTAAATCAAATAGGACAACCAAGAACGTAATGTTATATCTTGAGATTTTGTTATGGTCAGAATTTGTCAACCATCAACGATCATAACAAATAATTCCGATAATATCAAAGTGTACACCCCAAGAGGGGTGCAGGAAACTACTTTGTTGTAGCTCAATGCTCAAATTGATTTTTATATGGAAGTGCGCAAAAAAAAAAAAAAATTGCACGAGGGACATTTGTTATGTAAATTGGGATGTAGGTATTTAAAGAGCTGTTTATAGCTACAGGATATCTTGAAGTCTTGATTGAATTAAATAAGTAAAGTCATATAAAAATTGTGTCACTATTTCATAAGGATTAAGGGCTTGTTTGTTGTGCATTATTCCCCTGAAAAAATTAGAAATTCAACCGTTATTTTTAAATAGTGGGTCCCACGCAGTGAGACAATGGTCAAAAATGGTAGGCTGCTAACTGTCAGAATTTGTCTACAATTGAGATTTAATGCCAAACAAACAGGGGCTAAATTTAGAATTTAATTTAAGTTAAAATCAATAATTAATTTTAATTACATACTTCGTGGGATCTAAAACTTTTTATCATACATTTTATTAATTTTTATCAAAATATACTAAAAAAATCTGATTTTAATTCTCACTAAAATGGTCGTATATATCTTTGCAAAATTTTTAATATCAATCCATAAATTACTATTCCAATAGCAAACTAACATCGAGGATTTAAAAAAGTATGGTGGTCATCACTCTAAATCAATGTTAATTTTGACTAAATTTGAGATCGAATTAGATCAAATTAGTCGATTGACTGTTTAAATAAATAGTAAGAAAGTCGTTGACAAGAAACTTAATATTTTACGAACCTTTTAAGTTTTAACTAACAAGTCATGATAAAACTATTTTTTTTTTTCACAATATTTAGTCTTTAAAAATAATTTTCTGAAAAACAAAACATTGAATTCAAAACATACTACTATAATTTTTAAAATGACAAAAATATCCAGTTTGATACGCATTACTCTCAAAATTTATTCTTTTAAAACTCATTTTCATTCACCAATTCTTTAATAAAATAATATTACAGCAAATTCGAAATTTTTTTCTTATTTTTTAGCCATATATTTTCTATCACACATCACATCATAAAATACATTTTTTTCTTGAAAAATATGTATCAAATACTCCCATAAATACGACTTGGGGTGTGTTTGAGCCACATTATTTTGAAAGAATGTATTTTAAAATAGTAGATTAATGGCGAATGTGTGGTTGAAAAAGAAGGAAATGTTATTGATGTGATGAAAAATATTATTTTATTAAAAAAATGTGTGGTTGAAAATAAGTAAAAAAAATTAATATGAAAATTTTAATGTGGCTCAAACATGACTTTGGTTGTTTCCCAGTGTATTCACGCATATTAATAAAATACAAAATAAATTGAAAAAAAAGATACATACACTGAATAGATGACCAAACGTCATATCTGCCAACCCGTCCACCTACCCACCCGCCCTTGGTTTTGCAATTACGGAAAAGATCTTTCTCCTCAACGTGGCACAAATATACGGGGCCTGGCCTCGATCCGCAATCTTAAGGTCAAATATTCATTACAAGAAAATTATATTTATAAAAATCCCATTTAGGTCACCGAAAGGGACGATTCAGCAGGCCTCGTCGTATAATTTTGGGACACCTGTTTCGCCACATGATTGTTCTGTAGGACCCACCTGTCAGAATTTTAATTTAGGATGTTCTGTTTCATTGAAATGCTTTATTGAGTTTTTCCCTCTTTTGTGAAAAAAAAAAAAAACTGGCATGGGTGTCTTATTCCTCGGTTGACGTATAATAGTTTGTGTTTCTTTGGGAGTCTATTGAGAAAAGAACCCTTTAGGTGTATGTGTCAATAAAGAACTGTTTCTGAACGGCAAGCAACATTTTTCAGACTGATGATTGAAATAGGATACGTGTTGCAGATATTCTGAGTACAAATTTTTGACTGGTACGATCGAAAGTTTGATTTTTAACACTTGGAGGTGTAAAAAAGAAGACATGACTAGTTTAAATCAAGATATACAATTGGGCTTTTTCTTTTTTTCTTTTTGACTTGAGAGAGTTCAAGGTATCAACATTTCTGATTTCTGGGCTTTCGTAATGACTTGTAAGTTTCATATTTCTGGTTTATTTGCTTTGTTTTAGCTTTACTAATTGGAATCAAAAGATATTAAACAGATCAAGTTTTTACATGATGATTCAATTGCTTGATGAATCCTTGATGTAGACGAAACTAAAAATAGAAATCAAGAAATGCTAAGTGGTGTCCAAGAATTTCCTTGTAGAAGTCTTTTGGAAATTGATTCCCTTTAATTGGAAGTTTTGATTTAGATTTTTAGTCGATCTCCATTTTTAAGTTTCACTTCTCTTTGGTCTTTAGCATTTGGAGTTATAGTGTTCTTTTATTATTTTTTCCTGATTTATTGGAAACTTAATGTTGGATTGAGATCAATTTAATTGAGATGTGAAACTCTATAGAAGGGGGACTTAAACTTCTTTCTGGGGCTTAATATAACTGTTGAAAGAATAGAGGGAGTAATGGTGGATGAAATTTGTTTTGCCATATGAACTAACAAATACTGTTGAATCACTGGGACTAAGTTAATAACAAACACAAGAAGCTTCTTGTCAGAACCAACAATGACTAAGCTGCCTTTGGTACCTCTTACTCTTGAAAATAGAGGTATTAGCTCGAGTGTTCCACAGAGTCGACTTGGTATCAGTATAGAGTCAATGTACGACGAATTTCAGGAAGGTGAGGACAATTTATTGTCGAGGGCTAGGAAAAGTGGAACTTGTTTGATTTCTATTGATGCTGTTATTCAGGAAGGCAAGGAAGATGATCAGGTGACACTCACTTGTGACCAATTCCGGGATACCATATCTTCTAAACGTGTGTCTGATGGTACTAGCAGCTTATGCATTCCGGAACGTGCAGTTCTGGAAGCTAATTCTGAGCCAATATCATTTGTTTCCGTAGATGAGAATGGTGATGTTGCTCATGGCAATAAGAAACTTGTTTCACGGGAATCGAATATGAAGTCAGAGATAATTAGTGATCTAGTTTCTATAGGAGAAAATTGCGAGCCTAGGGGCATAGACGAATCTAAAAGGACATTTTCTGCTTCCCTTCTTGAGGTCCCTGAGGAAGTGAAGACGAGTTTGAGTTTTCCTCCTCTTTGGGGATTCACATCTGTTCGTGGAAGGAGGCTGGAGATGGAAGATACCGTCATAGCTTTACCTCGGTTCTTTAGTATCCCATCTCAACTGTTGACTGACAGACCAATTATGAATATCAGGCATCAAGATTTAAAAGCCCACTTCTTTGGAGTTTACGATGGACATGGGGGCCCGCAGGTCAATATTCCTTCATTGTTGTTGCTAATATTTCCTTGTTTTATTTCACTTCTCTTTTCACTTCAGGTTTCCATATCTGTTTTGTTTTCCAGTATACCTAGGTAATATGTATCTTTCTATGCATAGGTTGCTGAATATTGCCAGAAACGTTTTCATTTAGCTTTAGCCGAGGAGATTAATATTGCGAAAGAAAATTTGCATAATGGAATTGATGATGATTGCAATCAGGAGGAGCAGTGGATGAAGGTCTTTTTGAATTGTTTCCGTAAAGTTGATGAGGAGGTTGGAGGATTCCACAGAGGAGATGGGGAAAGTGCTATGTTTGAACCTGTTGCTCCCGAGGCTGTTGGATCTACAGCTGTGGTTGCAATTCTTTGTCCAACCCATATCATTGTTGCAAATTGTGGTGATTCAAGGGCAGTCCTTTGTCGAGGGAAATCACCCATGCCATTGTCTGTAGACCATAAGGTAAGAATCATATTTGTAGAGTATTGGTTTTTGATTATTTGTTAGACAAGGTCACCAAAGATTATACTCATATAATATTGCTGTGTACTTATTATTGTTGAAGACAAAGTTAAAAAAAATAAGTTCGTCACCTCTCTAAAAACACAGAGGCTTTTTGATGAAGTGTTTTCACTTATTATTATAGCAGGCAAAGACTTTTGAGTTCAAGTCTTGCCGTCATTCATTTATTGTGTTGTATTAGTCCTTCAATGAGAAAAATGAATCTGGCTGTAGGTGAGAGGACATGTTGCAGACAATATGAATAAATAAGTTCGTCCCCTCTAGGGTGTCCAAAAGTTCCAGACCGAACCGAACCGAACCGAATCGAGTGGTTTTTCATAAATTAAATACTCGAACGGGTACCCGAATCGAGAATCAATGGGTTTGGGTCGAGTCTCGGGTCTAAACCAAGAACCGAAGAACCAAAACTAAATAATTTTTTTATTTTTTATATTGAATTAATTAAATTATTTTATTTTTTCTATACAAATTAGCAAATTAATTAAATAAATTAGATTATTTCATAATTTTAATTTTAAAATTCAAATCATTTTTAAAACTCATTACTCCATTTTAATTTGAAGCAAATGAATATACTTTATGTAGTTTTGATGTAATATTAATATCTACTTTTTGGCATTTGTATGTATTGAATTAATCTTATTGGATGACTAGTTATTTATATGTTTTTGAATTTGGCTACGTTAATTTGTAAAAATTACGAATGAAATGTCATTAGTTGTATTTATGTAGTGTTGCTGTAAATATTAAAAAATTTGATTATGGTACGGAACCGAACCGAACCGAACCCGAACGATTCCATAATCATATTTGGATCCGACAAGTCCATTTATTAAATACCCGAAAGTTTTGGGTCGGTTTAGGTCTCTTCAGAACCGAACTGAACCGACCCACGGACAGCCCTAGTCCCCTCCATAAAAGCTTAAGCTTTTAAGTGAGGTAGGCCAAAAATTTTATGACTCAAGGATAGGACCGTGCTAGTAGAATGTTGTATGTCATCGTATAAAATATCTTTTATTTCCTTTGTCTTGCTGCTACTGTTTTCAGCCAAACAGAGAAGACGAATGCATGAGGATTGAGGCTGCAGGAGGCAAGGTCATTAATTGGGATGGTTATCGTGTTTCAGCAATGCTTGCAGTGTCAAGATCCATAGGTATGTTGATAACTGTATTTGAAATGTTGCATTTTGATGACCTAGTTTTCTAAAAAATCTGCAGAAATTCCTATAACACGTTATGTTAGTGAAGATGATATACAGTGGATTATGGACAAGTAGCAAGACTTCCTAGCGGTAGTACTAACTATGCTCAAGAGGGTTTTGAATGTAGCATCCAAAAGTTTGTGCTAGTTTATTACCAATTTTCCAATTCTAACTGTTAATTTTAAAATCGTCCATATTCTGGCCATGTGCCATAGTGTACTTGTTTAAATATATCATCAGGTGGTGTTAATAAAGTATCCACTTGTATCCTATTGCATTTGATAATAAATATATCATCAGGTGGTGTTAATCAATTATCCACTTGTATCATCTGGCAGTTATCAAGCCTCGTGTGGAAGTATTATGGTTGCTTTGTTATCTTCATTGTTTTGTGATTTAATATGGGAATTTTTCTGAAATTCTTGTAAGCTGCAGGGGATAGATATTTGAGACCCTACGTGATAGCAGATCCAGAAATCATGTTTGTTCCTCGAACAAAAGAAGATGATTGCCTTGTTCTAGCTACTGACGGTCTATGGGATGTTTTGACAAACGAGGAGGCTTGTGATTTGGCGCGAAGGAGGATTCTACTGTGGCACAAAAAGAATGGACCCATCCTTTCTAAAGAGAGAGGCGAAGAGGTTGATCCGGCATCCCAGGATGCAGCAGAATACCTCTCAAAGCTTGCTTTTCAGAGGGGAAGCAAGGATAATATCTCCGTGATTGTAGTGGATTTGAAAGCTCAAAGGAAGTTCAAAAGGAAGAGTTAGGGTAATCGATTCTTGCTGTTCCTTCTTGTCGACGAGTATAACTGGAAATCTCATTCTGTCTTCGTAGTTTGAAAAATCGTGTTTCGAAGTTTAGCTTCAGTCTGCAGGCTAACTTTGTAGACAGATGGTTATGGATATGTCTTATGTCTAATATAAGAGCATATATTGAAGTCATATCACTAAGAGATTTGCTAATTTATATTCTGATTGGGTTTCCTTGCATTCATATTGCAGAAATTTATGTTCTTTTGAGATTTTAGGCTCATGCTTAGTGCTCAATTACTGATAACAAGAGGTTTGTTATACAAAGCTGAACTCAAGAGACTCAGCTGATTTCCTTTACAACTATAAGTGACATTTACTCTCCAGGAGCTTATGAAAACTAGCGGTATTTTTGAACATGGCTTGGATATGAACCTGGAAAAGGTAAATGGTCAAATGCCAAAAGGTTGTATAATGTAGAAAATGTTCATGACATAATACCGTCGTATTTAGATGTTGAATCACTTCTTTGGAAGTTACTCTATTTTTTGTCTTACAGTATCAACCAACCGAACCATTTTCTGAGTATCGTCTGAGTATCTAAATCTGGGTTTCTGCATCAGATTTTTTCTGTTGAATTGGCCGGGTTGGTCCATTTTTTACAAATAAGTCTGTCTAGTTAGGCAGGAGAAAAATGCATGATCGTGGAGTTGTGAATTATCAAATGTCTTATTTTTCATATCCTTATTCTTGATCATTTTGAACATGTCATTCACAATTCTGCCACAAACAGGGACTTAACATAGCCCCACAGATGGATAGAGACTATAAAGAAATGAAACTACAGTTACCCAGAAATCACATAAGATGCAGACGGACATTCTTTACTGAAACAAACAATAAAACTTTGTATGCAGATCCATTGTGATGTACATGTATTATATCAAAGCTGTTAATATCTCGAGAAAAGTAGTTTATTTTCAATAGTATGCACTGTACCAGACTACTAGTATCCCGTGCTTATTGCTACTATACCTTATCGGAAATTTTTGTGTGTACCATAGCCAACACAATCCGAGTAAGAAGAATATTTCAGGATTCTACAATGTTGAAGGAGAATTTGGATAGTAGCTGTGGAACCCCTGAAATTATCGGTCCATAGGCCTACAGAATACAGCAATTAAACATATCAAGGCTCGGTGAGAAAATATTCGAGCATATAAAAGTTTAAAGAGGAAATTTCCAAGGACGGCTGGTTTAGGAGAGTGAAAATTGGCACCGATGTTTCAAGTCATACCTTGTGATTATCATGAATCTCGCACAATGGAACTGCGAGAAGTTTAAAGTTCTTTGGTACAATGAATCTCCGACTGGGGGGCAGCTTGACGAGAAAGAGTTTTGTGCACTCCTACAATGACATACACTATGTAATCAATATCTACGAGCTAACAGAACGTGAATGAACTTCAAGATTCTATCAGAATCACCTTAGGCCTCGTAATGTTTGGTGGCAAATATGGATACAGCAACGTTTCAAAGTCGGGTTTCCACCACATTCCAAGACACTCTCCAACCTAAAATTATAAAACAGGCTTTTGAACAAATTGCAACTAAGCAAGGCAAAATGTCTCGAGCAATTTTTATACGTACTTGCCATTCTGGCCCACGACCATTTTCACCTACAGATAACTTGCTCGAGAGCTTGCGTTTCAAGCAGTCGATATCTGCAGCATAGGAAAAATAGGATCTAATAACCTTGCTTAACATGTCCCACCATATTCAAAGGTCTTTTTAGCCATTAACAAAAAATTCTCACGAGAGCAACTAACCTGATTCACCTGGTCTTAAGCGACCACCTGGCAGTTTAAATATGGAGTTATTTACTTGCAGCACCAAGAGATGCGGGTGTTTGAACAGTTCCACCTGTAACAAGAACTATCAATAATTCTCAAGGTAAATCTATGAACAATGTTCTAAGCAATAAATAATCTATGCTCAAGTAAAAATGTGTCGTAAACCAGGAAAAGGAGAAGTAGAAATTCAGAAATTGATAATTCATGTCCAAAGTCAAACAAGGAAACATAGAACAGATTGCAGGATACTCATTTAACTTAGTACTAATGTAACTCAATAACTTATGAAACTGAAGGTCCATGAATAAAGTACATTTGGTAATAGAACTAGTAACAAATATTATTTCTATGAGATGAATGATATATATAATGCAACACTTCTTCATGATGGATCCCCTTTGTGGTCGTCATAGTCTGGTTGGTTCTTTTGCTGGTAAATAAATATTCTAATTTGGTGGTCAGAGGCGTCATGTCATAGATATGAGACAAATTAAGCAATAGAATCGAACAATGTATATACCTAAGAGTGCTTATAGGTATGGATATTACCTAAAGTGTTTTACAAGCATGTTTGGGATGTGTACCTTATCAATTAGCAATAGTTGTTCCAAGGACATAGACACCCAAGAACTTATATTTGGGGAATTTAAAGGCCAAAGCTCAAAGGCAATTTAGTCTCTTTAATTACAAATGTTAATTGAAGGAGTCTAATAAGCAATAGGGTACACCCGTGGTTGGGGATATTCGGTTAACTGGATTTGCTTGCATAGCATTATTCCATACTATTAACTCATTTTGCTTCACAGAACAAGATGCAGAAGCAGGAAAAAATACTTTGATGAGAAATACCATCTGTAAATTATTGGATTTCAAATATTACCACAGGCAAGAAGGAAATAAGTCAATCATGACTTTCTATTGGGCACAAAGGAAACGAGAGTCTATTTCTTACATTTTTCAATGCTGTCGATGTTCAAACTAACTACTAGACCAAATTGCGACCCACGAAAGAACTGCTAGACCATTTATACATTATTATTTATGCATTTCGTTCAGTATTTTATCAATTTTTTCGCACAAAACTTCCACCTAGACTAAATTCTTTTTGCATGTGATTAGCCCACCAATGATAAGTTAAACATGGCAAATCTAGGAAAACATATCTTCTAAAGGACCTGTTAGGTTTTTACTCGAAAAACTCTTACCACTTTTTAGAGTTAAAAATAAGGAATGTCAACTTTAAGCACTATTCCTGAAGTCCTTTAACAAATTAAAATTTAAGTTTTTCATACTTTATATAAGCTTAATATGGTAGAGTTTAGGAAATAAAATGTATTTTGAAGTAAACTCTTAGATCCATTGGATAATTGTCACAAGAAAGGTAGAAGAAATGATGATTCCTTGAAGCCTCCTAGTACTTGGATAATCTCTGTTTAAGCACATAAAATGTAAGAATGCTAAAGAAACCAAATGGCCTGAATATCAGGTCAGCAACTGAATTTGCTATGTTAAAGGCAGAGCAAATTGAAGAACAGATGGTTCATGCCTAATGTGCAAAATCACTGAAGAGTGTAGTGGACATGGATCTGATACTCGGAACTAATATAATTTATCAAAAATAAAGGTCAATGAATTACATCTTATAATGGGGACTATTATCATAATATTGCTTTAATAAAAGGAAAAATGCTATAGTACTTAACCAGCAATTCATTATGATACATCCGCATTGACATTATTGCAGCTTAGTGCGATCTTTAGCACAGCAAACGAATATCAACGTTGCAACTTGTATATGAAACTAAACTTAAGCAACAAAAATCACACTAAGTACTGCAACACTGGCATTCATAATCAAACATAGCTTGATGTCAACTTCATAACACAATGGTGTTCATGGATATTAGTTAATCTATTTTTTGCCATTAGTTCATTGCATAGTATCACATCAAATTAAAGAGAGAAAAAAACACTAAAGTTCAATAAGCTTAACACTGTGTGAAACCTAAAATGCAAAAGCAAATCTCAGCTAAATCTAAGAAAAGCTAAAGTAATTTTGGAAACATTTACCCCGATCAAGAATCAGCAGTTGTCCAAATGACAAACGCCTGAACAAACTAAATCGGAAAGTTATGTTTTGGAATTCAGAGGCTGAAGCTCAATAAGATATTCAAAAAACATGACTCCCAACAAAAATCGACATCAGGGGCTGCCTTTGAGATATCAGGTACACCTGCTGCGGTTGACCTACTGATCAACTAATCTTTTTTGCAAAGCATCATTACATACTGATAAATTGATTTAGGGGGTGTTTGAGCCCCATTATTTTTTAAGAATGTATTTTGGAACAGTAGATTGATGGAGAACGTGTGGTTAAAAAAGAAGAAAAAATTTTCGATTTACGCGTAATATTATTTTAATGAAGAATGTGTAGTTAAATGTATTTTTGGAAAAATGGAAATCAAACATTATCTTAGTCAAAAAATTTCAGTATCCATAGTATTTTGGGTTATATAAATTGATTCAGAACATGGGCTTGAAAACCAGCTGCCAGTAATATCCTTCAATTGTGCCAGAAACATTATTTCACCATTTCTAACACTATCTTTGCACAAACAAATTACTAGGCATAATTCTCAAATCAATAAGCCCTCTTTAACAAGTCATATCAGATATTCAGTTTCCACACAGAACAATATGTAAACATCGATGATAATAATAACAAAGAAAGGAAAACTGACCACAATTACAGCCGCCACACAGTTCCTCATTCCATGGGCATCATAACTGGGAGGAAAACAAGCAAAGTAAGAATATAAAGAAAGAAACCAGAAAACCACCCTTTACAATAAAGATAAAAATCAACATACTTGGCTTTCATACGAAGGACGCGATCATATAAAGTCTCGTTCTTTACTGGGGTGGTTTCTTTAGAGCCAAAATAGTAACAGCTGAGTGGGTAAATATCAAGAACCTCACTTTCACTACGTCTATTATGATGGCTGCCAACATTTTCTGACATAAATTGATCATCCATATTCCAAGAATTCAGATGAAATGAAACTAAACTGCAGTTGGGAATTGAGGGAAAAATTAAGAAGGTCGAAGAATATATAGGAAAAAAAGTAGAATTGCAGTGAGAGAGAAAAGCAACGTGGCTATTCCACAGAGAAATGGAGGCCTGAATTTGGTCAAAGAGAATCGAATCGTAGATTAGATAATACGGCTGGGCCCGGGATTAGCATCTGTTTTGCAGTCATTAGTGCACCAAAGCCCCCCATCTTCTTCATTTCATTTTAATAATAATATGCAAAGCAAAATCATGCAGAAACACAATATATTGCTACTTTATTTCTATCTACTTAACTTCTCTATCTTGTTATTGACAAATAAGAGGTTTCCCCTACCTATTCCAACCTTTTCAGAAAGTTAACAGTTTACGTTCCATGAGGACGGAAGCGGTGGGCTACTCAGCTCGAGACAACTGCGCCATCTAAGCCCTGTTTGGTAACCTTGAATTTAAATTTTTTTTTTAAAATTTATTTCTCTCATTTTTAACCACACATTTACCCAATAAAATATTTTATATGTAAATTCCTTTTTTTTTTTTTTACTTTTATCCACATATTCTCCAAAAAATATTGTTCAAAACATAGTTTTTTTCAAATTAAAAACCACCAAACTGGCGCTAAATGAATAAATGTGGGTAAATCTAGTTTCGTACTCACCGTCTAATGTAATGCAAAATAATCTAACATTGCACTATTTTTAGTATCTAGCAACACTAAATTACGTCTCCATAACGTTGAGAGAAGACGTGTCTCATCATGAAGGGATAGTAATGACCGGGCAACTGTTTTACAAATATCTTCACAAAGTCTTGAGAAACTATGTGGAGATTGAAACATATCCTTGTAGAAAGTCGGTAATTTGATGAAAAAGGAGTGATGACTCAAGCTTCCAGTGAACATCGGTTATAACTATAACGGTACTAAGGGTGTCGGGTAAGTTCAATCTAAACAAAAAATGTATTACGATCTAGCTCGTTTAGGAGTGAGACTCGATAAAATAGACAGTGCAAAAATTTTGTGAAGTTTCAATATTCCCTAAGATTGAATTTGAACATTTCCTATGCAACAGCACTCACACCGTGCTAAACTTAAAAGTGGGGTTCTAAGCAAAAACCATCAAATCGGAAAATCGAACCGAAACCACAATTTTGAAACCGGTGGTTTGGTACCACGTGGACCCGTCAACGAAATGGTTTTAAACCAAACCAAACCTGTCAAAAACGGTTTGATTTAGGTTTGAGAATTTTAATGCCGGTTTAAAACCAAACTGGACCGACGAAAATATATAAAATAAAAAATGAA